TTATACCAAAGTAAAACATCAAATATTGAACACAGCTGTAACGTCTTTACTCGGCGCTGGTGGGAGGTGGCAGGTCCCGCCGCCGCCGCGTACTTGTCACTAAAAAACTCTCACTTTGGCCACTGAGAGTCAGGGGTTCGTCTTGGTGCAGGAGCTGACGCTGAAGCCCAAGATTAAACAAACACGCTCCACACGTTGATAATATTACTAACCAAGTTTATTGAAGAAAAAGAATGAAGAAAGAAACATAGAAATTTTACATTGAGAATGACGACCCTCACCTCAGGCGAGCTGCCTTCTATCTGCCTAGCCTAGGCTTTGTCCCGAAAGAAATCATCACGCGCTACAGTTTTTTTTTTGGTGGCTATGCGACCTCGTACGCATCCAGTGGTGGGGCCACTGGTCGTATGTCAAAGCTTATGGGTGAAAGGGTGAGGCCGCATGCCGATCTTTCTTGCTCGAAATAACACCGCGTGTGGTCTCTTTAGGACTGCTTATATTAAGGGTACTCTTAATACCAAATGGTTATACATTTAAAAAAGTTACAATAATTGAGTGGGGGTCATATATGACACAGCTTCCTTATAAGGCGTTTTCTGTTATCCAGAGGATTTTCATGATTTTCTTCAGTAAGAATTATACCAGTATGGAATGTCATCATTTATATCTATAAACACAGTCTTCCTGTTACCTTCTGGGATATAACCGTGTAGTTCGCTGAATGTGAATTGCTGTAAGAACCTCAAATCCTACATTCCTATTAGGTGTTATCTGTTATGCTGAGATTTCTCTGTTTTATTCAGCAAATGCTGTAAACATAAAATTTCATGAAAGTATTGATTTTAAATTTCTCCTTGCAAGGCATTCTCAACTCCATCAAGTTTGTTTCAGTCCTTCATAGATAATTTGCAAGTTCTCTGCCATGGTTTTCACATGTCACTCAGAGTCACCTATCTTCGGCAGTTGATACTAAACAAACCACCTTACAGGCCCTCCCTTTGTCATCGAGAATAGAGCCCGCGACCTTCCGTCTTGTAACATAGTGCCTCAACCAACTCCGTTACTGCGTGCTCCCGATGGTGGGTAGAATGAAAGAAACGGCGATAACATTCGGATAACAATAAGCGAAATATATGTTGGATAGAAAAGCAAAATATGAAAGTTGCGAAGAGATAAAGAAGTTAACAAAAAATTGTGTAAAAATTTAAGAACCACCTGGGAGGAGGAGGGGATATGTAGAATTATGCACAGGAGAAGCCAGGAGAGGAATAATGTGATGGAACGTAGGAGTCTGAAAAGTGCAAGAGGTTAGGACGGACAAGCAACTGATGATCTATAGTTGCAAAGAAGGAGACTGGAGTGTGAGGTGTGAAGGGGGAGAAGATTTGGAAGGAGCAGATTTTGGACAGGAGGTTTAGGAATATCTATTCATAAGTATATGTTAGGATGCAAGAATAAAGAGTAACTGCAAAAAATGGGTATACATGTGGTTAAATACAAAGAGAAATGTGAGGTGATTGTAGGAAAACACGAGAGTGACGTACAAATAAATTTAGATTAGAAATAAGCATCAGGAGTAGCAATAGAATATCTACTTACTTAATTACTTATGGAGCTGAGCTCTTCTTGAGGAAAAGCCAAATCTGCAGCTACTCAAGAATTTCCCAGCATTTTATGGAAGCCGAAGGTTCATTACCGTGTTCACAAGAGCCCTCCACTGGTCCCTATCCTGAGCCAGAGCAATCCAATCATACCATCCCCTCCTATGTCTCTAAGATCCATTTGAATATTTTCCACTCACCTATGCCTTGGTCTTCCCAGTGGTCTCTTTCCTTCCGACTTTCCCACCAATATCCTATATGCATTTCTCTTCTCCCCCATTCGTGCAGCAATAGGATACGTATAATTAAAAAATAAGTGTATGATAGTTGTAGAAGAGTTCTATACTAGAGGACGCAAATTTAAGCTTTATGCCGGAGCATGGGGGGCAGGGAGCCAAACTCCTGCACACCAACCTTGAACTATAATAGATATAATAAAGCATTTATCCATTTAAAAAAATAACAAGAATCAATGAAGGGTAGAATCACCGATATTTCAACTGATAAGCGATGCTATAGAACCAAAGCGTTAATAATTTCTAAAGCATATTAACACTATAGTTAAAGTTTATAAGAAACAAAGTTATGCTCGATTACAGCATAATATGGTAATGATTTGTATATTTGATATCTGTATATTTTCGAATATACGTGATTTAATTTTAAAGGTAGATATTAATTAATTGTCACATATTGTCATTCAATTTCCCAAATTAGTATGGTAAAAGGTAAAAAGTGAAGTCGTTCCTCTAAAATCTGGAACATCTTCAAACAATATAAATTCATCTTAAGTTGATAATACTATAAATCATTTTATGGAATCCCGATATTACGAAATCTAACTAGATATATTCAGCCATTTTCGAGCTACCAGACGTGACAAAATCCTGGAGTAAATTTCGGAAGTATTAGCCGAACTATCATTGTGGAATGCAGGTTGGTAGGACGTAATTCGCAAGTTCAGTTTCATAAGTTTTACAGCGAATTTGAGCAGACATTTGCTAACAAAGGCAACGTTACTGAAGTTAAACTTTATTTTACGCTGTCGTTTTCACGTATTTGCGGATAACATGTGTAATTGCAACAGCTCACTAAGTGTATGTGACAGTGTTGTGACATGTGAAATGGAAGCAGCGCCAATCCTGTGAAGACTTCGAACTACTCATCATGGCAAGAGGAGCTCCGCGCAAAGTGTAACGTTAATACCCGGTTTTGCGCAAACTAGCATACAAGTGTAAGACAAAACCAAAAATTGGTACATTTAATAAAAGAAAAAAAGTTCTGAATGTGAAAATGACGAACGATCGATCGATCGATCAGATGCAGCTCCCGTTGTATCAGTGATGGGACCGTGGGTATTAATGTGAACATAGCATGTTCGCCTTCGTCAAGCTGCAATTGTTGTGTCGTAATAATTGCAATCATTTATTTCGTCACTTTTCCACGAAACACGGCCACATATCATCTATAGATTACTTCTGCAAAATTATAAAAACTAAACGAAAGAAATTTACTGCATTTATGAAGGAAAAGAAATTTAAGGTTTCTAACAAACCTGGTTGTTGAAATAACTGACAAAAGCATGCAACCACATTGTGCACAATAGACCACTGTAGGTCGCGGTGCAAGGGCCGAGAAGGCCCACCCCTTATACATTCATGCAACCACATTCCGCTGACGAGCGAACCATAATTCCAACATGTTGTGCAATAGTGCTAACAGTGTTCCGCTCTGGATATAAGGCCGCAGTGAAAATTCCTCCAGATGACAATAAGATCTGTGCGCGTACCCAAGGTATATCTGAAAATATTGAAGGTTATGTAGCAATGTAGACAGAAAAATCGATTGATATGACTTCCGTGGACTTGCGTAGCATTTGTTCAGAAAGGAAAGATTATTGAGCCATGCCTATGTTGCCAAGAAGTTGTAATGAACACAAGAAAAGAAGACACATTTTAAATGATTACACGAAATATGTGAATTTATCGTCGATTAATGCGTTGGAATATGCATAAATGATACACCATCAGTGACAGCGCTTGTGAAAGGTGTGATTCTAACAAAAAACTTAATGGAAAAAATATTACATACTTATTGTTTTCATTACAGTTAAACTCTGATGGCAAAAAACTTTGAAGATCATTTAAAATCGAATTTGGTGACGACAGTGAAACGGTACATTTCTTTCAGGGCAGGTCCCTTAAATCACGCTGCATCAATGTGAAGAATTTGAGCTAATAACAAAAGAAAAAAGAAACAAAGGAAAATTTATTTTTCCCACTGTTGCACGATGATTGCCCAGGGCCGCTTATTGTACCGCGTGTAAGAGCTGAAACCCCCATTGATGCAGTATTATGAAGAAGAAATACAAATAAATTTGTATTTGCTTCAAAATCAGCTTTGAAGCAAGAAATCGGCCGGCCTCTGTAACATTTTCGAAATTCTAGGCAAAAGAAAGGTCAGTATGCTAGGAAAATGTGAACAGATTTGAACATGGACTGACAAACTTAGAGCACTGAAGTACAAAAATATACTCGTATCTGGAACAGAAAATCGAATGATGAAAATTTGAAATATTTCCAGGAACATCCGATTTCAGGTTAAAATCGGATAAAAAGACTTGTTTTGCAATTACCTAACCCCCTTACCGGGAAAATTAGACAAATGACTTCTCGGTTTGAAAATTTCAGAGTATGAATAGATAAGATATTCGTTCGCTTCGACTGAAATTAACAGTTTATCCCTACAAGAGAAAGAAGGGCCTGCGGAACAAAGAAACAACACCGGAACAGCTATCTAGACTGATTTGGATTTCAGCTCAAGAGGAATAATATAACTTAACTAAACAAATCATTGAAAATGTTGCAGTTTTCTGCTGCATGTGTTTATGAAGGTGGGTGTGCAGCCGTGGAGAAGATGAAAATATTCAAACGAGCAATTCTGAAAATGCTGAACAAAGAAAAACGTTTGAGCTTATTAGACGTTAGCCCGAATATTTAAGAACTCTGATATTCCCATCAAGCGCATCCATCTCATTAGTGGTAAATGTAAATTGTCTGCTTGCACCCACTCGATCNTATTCCCATCAAGCGCATCCATCTCATTAGTGGTAAATGTAAATTGCACCCACTCGATTATTCAGTGGTGTTGAGTAGCTCAGTCATGGAAGGAATACGGCGATGACCACATTTCTCAAATAAGTTAATGTCTTGAAGAAAGCAGTCTTCTCGGATGTGACGCCGTGTAGAAATTGTGGTAACCGACGTGTCGGAGGAACGTATCGCCTTCATCTTCAGGGTAGAAGACAAGAAGAAATCCGCGAGCGAACCAGCAGAGCAGGTGCAACAGACTGAGTCCAGTCGAGTAAACACAGCTGTATAAGAGAAGGAGAGAGGGAGTGTGGCTACATAGGCAAATAGTAGAGAGGGGGAGAGGAAAGGTCTGGTGGAATGGCCAGCAGGTAGTGCACCAGAGCTGGTATAGAGTAGGTGTTAGGAGGAGAGAAGGGAAGATTAAATTGATACATTAACTCTGTAGCTCGGGGGGCAGCGATGGACTTGTGTGGCCTACAGGTCTGCCGTATTTCGGAGGTTAGTTGAAGGAACAGATGAGAGGCTTCCATGACTTTCTGAGACAAATCCCCACCTCTCTGTTCATATTGTTGGGATGGAGTTCAATCTCAGTGGCTTCCCTAATCATGCGATCCATATAACGGGTCTAGGTGGCGAGGATGGAGGTATTCTGAAGCTGAATGCGGTGTCCCAAATCGATGCTATGTTCAGCAACATCTGACTTGTCTGGATGTTCGAGACGGATGTGCCGCTGATGCTCCTTCAACCTCGTGCCCACAGAACGGCCTGTCGCCTAATATAGATCTTGCCGCACTCGCATGGGATACTGTATACACCCGGTGTCCTTAGTCCCAGGCTATCTCTGACCGGCCGGAGGAAACTAGATCATTTCTTTGGAGGCAGGGCCATTGATTTGATGTTGTGTCGGGACAGAAATTTGCTAATACGGTTGAATATAGTCCCGACATAAGGCAGGTAGGCTACTGAGTCCTGTTTATAGTCCAGCCGACTGATGTTCGGATGACGGTTGACAACTCTGCGGATCTACCGGTTGTTGTAACCGTTCTGCCTGAAAACGTCGCCCAGGAGTACCAACTCTGCATGTAGGTTGTCTTGACCGCATAGAGCTCTAGCCCTGTGCACCAATGTGGAAAGTACCGCTTGCTTGTTGGATGATTGGTGGTGTGACGCAGCGTTAAGGTAGAGGTTTGTATTGGTGGATTTGCGGTACACTCTGTGGTCCAGAGAACCGTTGGGTCTCAATTTCAGTCCCCATTGTGAACTGAATGCACTGGTGGATACTATTTAGGTAGTTCAGGAAGTCCTTAAGATCTACAAAATGGGGACAGTATTTTCAAGACATAAGTCTGAGACCAAGAGCAAAAGAATTACTGCATGGCACAGTGGCCCACAGAACCCCCTTAATTTCCAAAGTTGCTAACAAACTGTACATTGTCTACAACTCTGAGGGTATATCACAGCTCAGTAGGCAGCCTATGCAACAGAAGTTCTGTGCATTTAGAGTCCTTCAGTACGATGATCTTGGCTCCCACTGTACGCTGAAAATAGAATCCATTTATAACGACGTACCAACCTACATCAGTGATAATGAAGAGCCCTCACAGATTCATCATCTGCGCTACATACATTATAGTAATGTCATTCTTGTGAGGTAGCTACACTGCCAGTTTTTACAAGATCAGATTTACACAGGTAAGACAGTTTCATGCAATACCTGTAGAATTTAGGTACCTTTAGTGTGTACTTGCGGCGCTCCTCTGCCATTTTCTTTGCCTCTATCTCGGCCTGCTTCTGACGCACTGCCTCTCGCTCTTTCTCCATCACTGTGACTCTGTCCTTCTTCCTAACAAACACGGGTTTCAAACGTGGACCCGCTTCCTCTTCAGAGTCTGATAAAAACATGAAAAATTGCATCAGTATTTACTCTAGCTGTAACTGCACAAATTAGGGTAATTTTTGCTTATACAAATCTCACTACATTCCTGCCACCTTAATAATTCCCTCATCTCACTAACCACTGTACTCCTCATATTCTGACGACTCTGATGCACTCTCATCTGGTGAGTGGCCTTCCTCCTCTTTGTCCAGTACCTCCACCTCCTGCACAACAAAGCAGGAGATACAGGAATGAGAATATGACAGCAACACAACAAACACAGCATGGCTTGTGCATGGCTGCCGACCATACCTCGTCCTCTTTGTGGTTCAGAACCTTCTCACGTAGCATCTGCCTTCGCCGTTCAATCTCCTCATCACTCAACTCATCCTCCTCACTGTCATCCATTCTGGCAATCTGACGCACCTCCTTCTCCTTATCTGACACCCCCACATCGAGGATCTCCGGTGCATGAATATGCCTGTGTGTCAGCAAGACTTGTTAGGTATCATCAGAATCTTTACAAGAATGGCTTTGTGTGACAATGTTTGCCTGAGTTTTCCTACTACTATAAACTTTTGAAAAGCTTCTGTCAAACAGTGTAATAAATTTCTCTCCACAGCCAACAATGACTAACCTATCTCTCTCCATCCTGTTCTCATCTTCACTCTCTTCTTCATGGTCATCTTTCTTCCTAGTTTTCAGCCTTCTTAGTCTGGGATCATCCAGGTCTACCTCTCCTGTTGCTTCCACGTCTTGTTCAACAGCTTCTGCTGGCGACACAGGCCGACCAACAAGAAGTCCCTGTTTTTGTTTGATAAAATCATCTTTTTCAGACTCTTCTTCGCTGCTTGACATAGGTGCATAATCAGGTCTTTTACCAGACACATAACGATGCACTTTGACTTTCTGCACAGAGCAGCATGGATGTAGTGTATGAGGGACTACAGCATGATAATAAGACCGAATGGATGTCTTCGCAGAACGATGTTCAGCTCACACCAACTAAAGAAGATTTATCTGATTCACTTGTACCTGTTGTTAAACAAGAGGAGGCAAGTCATGCAGTTGGTTTCATTTCTCTTTGTACTCCACACTGTCCAGACGCTGTGCAAGAGTCAAATGTATACAATGTTGTAAAGTAGATTTACTAGTAACTAACACATATGAACTAGAACTATGACAATTTGAACTTTATATGTGTTTTTGCTAACACAGCTAATGTATATTGTCACATACTTGCATTATGTGTTAAGCAAACATACAAGACCTTTGAACTGACTTTGGTAATGTGATGACTGCCCTCACACTCACCCCCCTATGTCACAGCATTATGTACAATATTGCACCTCCAGGAAGCAGTAACAGCAGCTTAGTCTTATAATTTATACTGCCTCAGGAATGTCTGTCAATCTTTTGTTGTATTTCTTATTTGAAATTAGGTATTGCATTGTACTTGACAGATTTCTTCCTCTCCCCACTTCAATTACACACTGAATTGCCTCAGTGGTATGTGGAGTTGTGTTATCAGTGACATATACATTGTAGCATCACTATACAGTTTTGCATACTGCAAGTTGTTTTCAGTGTAGGTAAGAGGGTTGAATCATTTTCTTGCAGAGTTTTGTCATGATTCTCCTCAGTGCTTCCAGCAATGTAATAGGATAATACCTTAAATATGTTGAGACCATTTGTTTTTACATCCACCTTAACTGGTTGCTTTCCCTCATCCTTATGAGACTGTGTAACCTGTGCACATGGCAAAGGGATGCTGTTATTTGCATCATTCCCTGCAGAATGTGGAAACAGTAACTCCAGAAACCGAATCAGACAGTGAGGCCAAGCTGATGTCGTCTGTGAATGGTGATCCATTTGTTGATGTGAAACAAGAAGAGATATCTGAACCATTCAGTTTTGTTTCTGTTGAGGTAAGGACTGCTTCATGTTGAGGGTTTGTGTACATCAGATTTCAATGTGCAATGTTGAAGGCAGTTAATAAACTGTAAGACATAGAAAATTTGTAAAAATGCAAAAGTTGAAACATCAAGCTTTGTCCCCATCAGGATGCTGCCTTTGGCATCCATCGCCCTGATTCTAGAGACTGGATTCTGTCTTCATCCTCCAGTAAAAGCCTTGAACATTGGTCCAAATTGATGGAGCTAGTCCCTGTTGCAAGAGTCAATGCCAGAGTAGGCTTTACACCCAATGACAGAGAGTCTAGTCTCTGAACTGTCATTAAAAAAAAGTTGATGGATGTCCAAAAGAATCAATGCATTAATATACCATTGTCACAGACTTTTAAATCTTATTTGGATTGTCACTGCTTTCTTTTTATACACTGTGAATCTATTATTCATTCTCATGTGTTTACATATCTTTGTTCTGATAATAAATTGTATACAGGAGGAGCTGCTATGTAATGGTTCTGAAGTAGTAAAGTTTGAGATGGGACCAGATCCACCTGCTGACAGGTAAGATCACTTCATATCTTATATTTGTTATCAAAATATTGTAACGTGTTTCGTTACTGAATACGCCGTAGAGATCGTTAATTGGTATATTTAACAACCTACAAATCACGGCTACAATTAATTATAACACAGTTGCGGGGTTTCACACTTTATAACCCTAATTGCAATAATCTGTTAACAGTGTTGCAGGGTTTCACGATTTATAACACTATTCGCAAATCAGTTCACTCTCTCTTCAGTAGTCTACACGTTTACAGTAGGGGAGCTATGTATCACTGTATCACACACTGCCAATTACACAATTACACACACGTCCGGTTCTTCTTTCCGCGACGGCTGCTATACTCCAACTGTAGTTGGCTGACTGGAGAACTGTTGATAACACACTCGCTCATAGGCTTGCTTGGAACTAGCTCGGAACTGAGCTCGGCGATGGCCACATTACAACTAACTCCGCAGGCAGCGCAGCTCTCTTATATAGAGGCTGTGTGGGCCTGTTACATGCCACGTCACAGCAGGAAGCGGTGCCACGTCACCGTGTTTGCGTATAGCCTAGCAACGCTGTCACCTCGCGCCATCTTACGTCACCGCGCGTTGCGTTACAGTGCGGAAGGGGGGGAGGGGAGCGCTGACTCATCCGCCACGTCACTGTGGCCTGAGTTGCCACGTTGCTGCTGGGTAGGGAGGGGTTCTCCGTTGCGCAACATGTCACACTGCTCCCTCCTTAAGGCTGTTCGTCCCGAATAGCCTAACGGTGCATCCCTGTTAATTTTCTTTGGAGGCTGTTCTTGCAGCATCTCCTGTTTCGGCTACTTCTCGCAGCGACTATCATCCGGCCGTTACAATATTCTTGTAATTAATAAGTGGGAGGAATATAATTTAAGAATGTATTAGAGTCACTGTCAAATGGGTCCCAACAAATTCACTTTTGTATTTAACTCTGTCAGTGTGGTAGCCTCTTGTGCCCATACCTCTTTCATTGTTTCAGATGAGGTGTGTTGCATACAGCTTTGTATAATTCTGATTAAGTGAATCTGGGAATGTACAGTTGCTGTAGTAATTATAGAAGGATATCACTGCTATCAACTTAATACAAAATTTTATCCAATATTCTTCTCTCAAGGTTAAGTCCATATATAGATTAAATTATTGGGGATCATCAGTGTGGGTTTCGACGTAACAGATCAACTACTGATCAGATCTTTTGCATTCGTCAGATACTGGAGAAAAAATGGGAGTACGACAAGACAGTACGTCAGCTATTCCTAGACTTCAAGAAAGCCTATGATTCAGTTAGGAGGGAAGTATTGTACAATATTCTGACAGAGTTTGGGATATCCATGAAACATGTTAGGTTGATTAAAATGTGTTTAAACAAAACGTATAGTAAAGTCCGTGTAGGTAAACATTTTGTCTGATAAATCTTATATCTAGAATGGTCTAAAACAAGGAGACGCTTTATTGCCAGTCCATTTCAACTTTGCTTTAAAATATGCCATTAGGAAGGTCCAGGGAAACCAGGTGTAACTGAAATTAAATGGGACACATCAGCTGTGGGCCTATGCCGATGATGTGAATCTACTGGGTGATAATGTAGATACCATAAAGAAAAACACATACTTTAATTGATGCAAGTAAAGAGGTTGGTTTAGAAGTAAACACAGAGAAAACTAAGTATATGTTGCTGTCTCGTCAGCAAAGTGCAGGGAAGAATCATGACATAAGGAGAGGAAACAGATGTTTTGAAAATGTGGTTCAATTCAGATATTTGGGAACAATGAAAACAGATCGAAACCTGATTCAGGAGGAAATTAAGAGGAGATTGAACTCTGGCAGTGCTTGCTACCATTCAGTCCAGAACCTTTTGTCTTCTCGTTTACTGTCCAAAAACATAAAAATTAGAATATACAAAACTAATTTTGCCTGTGGTTCTGTATGGGTGTGAAACTTGGTCTCTGACATTAAGGGAGGAACATAGACTGAGGGTGTTTGATAACTGGGTGTTGAGGAGAATATTTGGACTGAAGAGAGATGAAGTGACAGGAGGTTGGAGAAAACTGCATAATGAGGAGCTTCATTCTCCAAGTATAATTAGAATGATCAAGTCAAGGAGGATGAGTTGGGCAGGGCATGTAGCACGAATGGGGGAGACGAATGCATATAGGATATTGGTGAGAAAGCCAGAAGGAAAGAGATCACTGGGAAGACCAAGGCGTAGGTGGGTGGTCTAACCGCTCTCTGTAGGATCCTTTATGTTGGGCGTCACTTTTCCTCTCTTACCGTCCTTCTGGACCCTTGGTTGCTGGTTACAGTTGCTCCTCTAGCCATTCCCTCTCACCTGTTGGTACTCCGAGTTTGCAGGTTGCTGCTGCGTCCTTCTTATCCAGTTCTGCTTCCCTTTTTGTTGTTGTGGACAATTGTTTGTGGGATATGGGTTACCGGAATGCTGGGCGCCAGTAAGCTTACTGTAAAGGCTTACATTTTGGGAAAAAGGGAGGATGAACTGGAAACTACAGGTGATAGGTACCGCATTCTCACTAGAGCGATGAGATTCTGTCTCAGGGTGAATACGGGCCTCGCGTCAGCGGGAAAGATAAAGAGTGTTGTAGCTAGGCACTACCACACACTGTTTAATTAGCAGATCTTGATATTCACGTACATGTAACAGCACTTGTTGCACTCCCTTGAAACGCCCTGAAATCACTCAAACGCTGGCGACCGGATCCCTGGCTAGGTATTTAGTGACTGCTTCTTTTAGCACAACACATAGAATTACACTTTCACTTAAACTTTTAACACAAAGTAAAATTAACATTAAATTTTGAAGAGTTATTCAGAGATTGTTCCTGCAAACACTTAAACATAAATTTGGTTTAGCTTTGACTTTTTTTAAACCAAACTGCCAGTGACACTAGTTTTTCTGCTGTACCCTTGGAGGGTTGTTCAGAGACTCCTTTTGCAGACTGACTCTGCTTCAAAGCAAGAAATCTTCACGGCTTCAGCTCCGCCTCCAAGTTACTACCCTAATTTCGGCTGACTGGAACAATTCGAATTTAGGGAGTTAACCATAATTCTCAGTGCTCCAATCACCTAGCTTTAATTTGGGACTTTGGACCTTAAAGTCCTAACGTCGTTTTTGACAGCTGCTTGAAAAATTATACCAGTAGCGTGGGTTGCTGGCCTTCCCACTTTTGACTTACGGGGTTCAAAACCTGTCAAGTGTAACTTTACCAAAGGATCCCGCCGGTCAACTTTCGAACTGAATTTCCAAGAAAACTCTGCGGGGTGCTTCCTGCCTGGTCTTTGTAGCAGTGAAGCAGGTCCTATTCTTGAAACCAAGAATCGGGCTAAGTCACCCTTGAATGTTCCTTGCTACATCTTATGTTTAATTACTATAAAAGGAATAATGATTACAAATAAACCTGGTGGTGTCAGTGGTACGGCTACAGTGGACAATATTAAAATGGATCTTAGAGAGATAGGATGGGATGGGACAGATTGGATTGATCTGGCTCGGGATAGGGACCAGTGGAGGGCACTTGTGAACACGGTTATGAACCTTCAGGTTCCATAAATTCTGGGAAATTCTTGAGTAGCTGCAGAATTGGCGGCTCCTCCAGAAGGGCTCAGCACCAATAGTAAGTAAGTAAGTGACTAGTCTCTCCAGGTTCACATGACTAACAGTGTGAATCCCAGTCTGCACTCCACTAGCCATCATGTCACATAGGATTTCCTTACCATGCTGTCAAACATGAGAATTCATATCACAGAAACTCAGTGAAATGTTTCAAACTGAATCTTTCTTTACAACATAAACTTGTAGAATTGTCACAGGTGACCTGCTATGTCAATTCAGAGTAGGGATCCAGTATTTCAGATTCCTTTACCTCCATCATCAGTGAGTGGTCTCCGATGATAAAAGCAGAGAAAGTGTCTGAATTAGCGGCGGCCCAGGTTCGATCCCGGGTCTGGTCAAGTGGGATTTATGATGGACAAAGTGGCGCTGGGGCAGGTTTTCTCCGAGTTCTTCAGTTTCCCTTGCCAATCTTCATTCCATCAATTGCTCCACAATCACCCTCACCTATCATCTGGGGCTGGTACAATAGGCCAGAAGTGGCTGCAATAGAAGGGACTTAGTCCCACCCCACTAGCAATAAAAAAATAAAAGTGTCTGAATTAATACAGTTGTCACCAAAGAACTATATTTCCATCTGTAAAAATTTTAATTACTTCAAATCAAAACCTGAACTGCTTTAATTGAAAATAAGAAACAGTATTTCCTCACTTTCAATTGTTGATGTTGGACCACAATAATATGATTTGTTGCATTGGGCAGTAGTATATGGATCGCGGGTGCATATCATAATCCCACATATTGTACCAATCCTTTATGCACAGTATAAAAAGTCATGACACAGGTGACAAAGCCTGAAATACTGTAGGCACAATATAAAACTCGGGCCACGAGGAAAGCACATACTTGATGCTTATATACTTATATGCTCATCCAACTCCATACACTTAAATGCTTTAATTTTAGTGTTTTATTTTGTAGGGTCAGTGAGTTCACTCTGCTACAAGATTGTACTGTACGTGATGAGACTTACAAGTGCAGAGTGTGTAGTAAGTGTTTCTTAAAGCATGGGCTTCTCGAGTCCCACACTCAAACCCACTCAGATGAGAAACCATTCAGGTGCAAAATCTGTAATAAAGGTTTTACACAACAGGATAATCTTGCTGCTCATGCTTATATTCACAGTGAAGATAAACCTTACAAGTGTGATCAATGTGGAAAGAGTTTTACCCAGCCTTATCATCTTGTAGTTCACACCCGTATACATGTTGGAGATGCACTATTTCTATGTGATGTTTGCACTAAAGGATTCATTACTCATGACCACCTCTTGGCTCATACTCGACGACACCCTGGTGACAAGCCATTCAAGTGTGAAATATGTAACAAATGTTTTAGCCTTCGTGGAAAACTGAATGTGCATCTTTGAACTCACAATGCAGATAAACCCTTGAAGTGTGAAATTTGTAACAAATCTTATACGAAGCATGATCATCTCATGGCTCACATTAACACCCATACTGGAGAAGCAGTCTACAAATGTGAAGTTTGTCCCAAACATTTTGCACGTAAACGCTCCCTCATGGTTCATAAGCGACTGCACACATGAGAAGGTCCTTATAAATGTGACATTTGTTGTAAGAGTTTCACAGTAAGATTGGACCTTGCAACTCATATTCACAGTCGCACTGAAAACAAACCCTATAAATGTGAAGTGTGTGGTCTGGGATTTGCACAGTGTGGGAGGCTTTTTAAACATACCTTACATCTTCATAATAATGATAGACCTTTCCAGTGTGATGCATGCAATGAATCATTTACAGTTCATGAGCATCTTGTAACTCACAGTTGCACACACATGCCTTAAAAATGTTGTACTTGTGCCCATTAGGATATGATTCAATGGAACTGTTTCTAGCCTTTGCAGTCCAACCTGCAGATAATACATGTATATATTATGTGTGATGTTTTCTGCAAACTATTGAACTCTGTGGATACATTTTATCTGACAGCCCGGAATGGATGCAATTTGTGGTGTGGAATTGTCTGAATTTGTATTTTTCTTTTGAAATAACTCCCTTTGTACCTTACTTACTTTGTGCATTACACCTATACTGGAGTCCCTGTTGTGACATTTTATGTATTTTATGTTTCGCGCAGACCTTTCGCATCGCCAAATCTTCAGTGATAATGGTGTGCACCGTCATCTTATCAATGCCAACACGATCTGCAATCATGCGCACACTTAACCGACGGTCTGAATTGAGTACGTCACGCACACGTTGCACGTTGTCGTCGGTTCTTGACGTCGACGGCCGTCCACCGCGGGGCTCATCCTCCACACTCTGTCGGCCACTTTTGAAGAGCTTGTGCCACTTAAAAACTGCAGTTTGTGACATGCTTTCATCCTTGAACACTTGGCGAATCATGCCCAGCGTCTCCGTACCCGATTTCCCCAGTCCAACACAAAACTTGATGGCGTACCTCTGTTCAATCGTTCGCTGCATTTTGCGCTTCACCGACTCACTCGACAGGGGTCCACTGAAAACACGGCCTGACCTCTATGAACGCACTCAGGCGAATGGCACTTGGCGCGTGTTAAAGGTTAGACCGGTTAGACCCCCACTACCACGCCTGCGCGGTGCGAGCGTGCTGCGGTGTACAGTCACTTAAGGGAAAGATTTTTCCCGATACTTTTTATACGGACCTTGTATGACATGTAA